AATAATATTTTAATCCTTATAGTTTTATATTATTATCAATTTAATCTTTTTAATTTTAATTTATTTAAATTACTCCTTATGGTTTCAGCAATTTGAAGCATTAGTCTTTGTAGTTTCATACTATTGTCAAATGTGCTTTCACATGCTCTCAGTGTCAATAGGATATGCTCTTCACTCACACACCATATATAAAACGTAGAAGAAACAAGCATGATGGGCCCACCAAATTAATATTAAAATAGCAATTTCTTTTATATATTACCAAACATCACTGTACCGACAATAGCTTTATTGTCTCTTTTGTTCAACTTTTTCCTACTGAGCGGCACGTTCTTCCTCCCTTATTCCTCTGTAGTTTTTATCGTATACCATCAAGACCCTTCCATCAGACTCAGATACTTCGCCACAATCTCTTCGTCAATGTAGTAGAACTAGAAGGGAAGATCCAGAAGAATCGTGAAGTTCTTAGAAGAGAAATGTCGAAGCCCTAAGGTTCTCTGTTCTCCGCGCCGAAATCGAAGTGAAGGCACTCCTGCATTTTGCTGAGCAATTTTATTTCTTTGTAACCTTGAAAAATATAAGAAAAGTGACTCAACAAATTTTAATATATGTTATGCTGAGTTGATATCAATCTAACACCATCGCACTAAACTGAACTCTGTTAGGTTAATTTTGTAATAGTCCAATGAACCAAGGACTAATACTTCAGATGGCTGAAACCATGAGGAGTGATTTTAAAAAAAAATTAAAATTATGAAGATTAAATTGATAATAGTATGAAACTATAAGGATTAAAATATTATTTTTCTCATTAATATCAGCATTATAATATATTATAACAACTCATATTCTCATAATATCTATAAGTTATAAATAACATTACTTATCTCTATATTTATTTTCTGGAGTTTCATCTAAAAGTTAAAACACATGCTATACTCTGCCTCTGTTATCAAATATACGGAACAATTCTTTTTTATTTGAAGAAAAAAAAACTTTTATCAATATAAATCATAATAGTTTAATAAATATTTAATGATAGTGACGAAAAAATATCTAACGATATCTTTTTCAAAATACTCTTGAGAAAGAGCTCAAAAGTATTCAATCAATTCTAATTCTCAATTTTCCCATAAATTTTCCCGTGCAAATAGAGGGATGGTGGGCAAAATAGGAAAAAAAAAACGTATTTTTTTTTAAAAAGTTATGACTCTCAACTTTATTTAAAATGTTACTAGCCATCTTAAAATCAACTATAAATCAATTGTGTCTCTTACTATAAAAAATTCTTTCCCTCATCACTCTACCATTAACTTGTCGTCTATTTATCATTATTGTGCTCCATATTAAATTTTCAAATATTTTTTATTATAAAATATTTAAATTTAGACTGTTCACTCACCTTTTGAAATAAAATTGTGGAGTAAAAATCACTTTCAATTCAATATTTATAATAAACGTTATTAAAACATGTAACGTGTAACCTGCTAATGGTGATGAAAATGGGAGAGGATTCTTTCCTCTTCTCTCCCATTCTCTTTCCCTCTTCTTCTTAATTTCTAACCATTAAATCAAGATTTTGAATAATTCAAATTTGATCTCTATTTTTAAACTATTCTTATTAATTTTTAGTAGTTTGAAGTTTATTACTTATATTTTTTATAATTTAATATTTTAATAATTTTGTAGAAGATCAAATTTGAACCATGTAAATCTTCATTTAGCAGCTAGAAAAAAAAAAGAATGGAAGAGGAAGGAAATGAAGAGGAGAGAATCAAAGCTCGATGGACATGGCAAGTTAATTAATGACTGGATGATGAGGGAGGAAATTTTTAATATTAAAAGACATAATTAATCTATAATTGAATTGAAAAAAGAGTCACTCATTTTTTCCTCTCATTTTCTCTCCACTTTCCTAATCTTCACCATTCATATTATTTTAAAAAATAATTTTTTAAATTATAGTATTAATATTGGGAAAGCAAAGAGAAAAGGAGAGGAAAGGAAAAACCCCTCTCCCAATTAAGTTTAGGGTATCTAGTGATAGAAGAAGGGTCTCTTTCAATTTTTTTTTCCAGCTTTTCTCTGCACTTCCTCAATTCTTATTATTCATGTCATTTTATTAAATAATTTTTTAATTATAAAATTAATCAATAGCAGAACAAAGGAGAGACCCCTCCCCATCCAGTGACACTTTAGATAAAGTTAACAGATAAAAATAACTTTTAACTCTTGTTTAAATGTATTTATTGGTATGTGTGAATTAATAGACTTGTATTTAATAACAATAATTATTAATTATAAATCAGACTATCTTAAAGATATTCTCTTTCTTCACTAATATATTAAGGGAATGTTAGTCAACAACATCCAATTTATGTTTAGTTAAACTATTGATAAAGTATATTAATTAAGAGGGTAATTTAATCTATTTAATAACTTTTTAAATTGTCCATACAAATTTAAATACTCCCTCGAGTTTTTATTATAAGACACTTCAAATTATCTCACCATAATAAAGAAGATATAGTTTAGTTATATATTAATTTTGTCTAAAAATAGAATAAACTTTTAATTCTATTCCTATTTAAATGAAAAAAATTTAAATTTATATTACATTCTTTCTCATAATTAATAAGTTTAAATATATGTAATATTAGAAAAAATGTAATTGATATGTCATTGTGTGCTTTGTATTAAGAACTAAAAAAATACTTTTAAAAGTTGTCCTATGATAGGAGTGACAAATATTGTGAAAGAGAGGTAGTTTAAATTTTGATTTTTAAAATTGAGACACTAAATTTTGCTAAAATCACACCTTTTTCTTAAATCTTGCCAAATAAGAAAATCACACATCCTAGCTCTTGACTCTTGAGGTTTGTTTGAAATAACATGACCACATCCTTTTTTTTATGCAACTGAGAATATCCTCCACCAAAATGCAATATTAATGCAAATAATTTCTTAAGGACTATAGAAAGTGGTAGAGGGTAAATTTTTTCCAATTAGATTGCTTTTGTATAAACATGTATATACAAAAGTTGAAAATGAAATTTTCAACTAGTTAGATAATGGACAATAAAATTCTATCACTCATGTCAATCTGAATTGATATTTGAACACATCCTTCATTTTCAACTAGTTATATAATGGACAATTAAGATTCTATCACTCATGTCAATCTGAATTGATATTTGAACACATCCTTTACTTTTATTTTCAAAAGTTTGTGAGGGCATCTTTATATAAATATATATAGAGTTATATTTCAGATCTCTCATTTGTTCAATAGTATATGTGAATTATGGTTTTCAAAATTATTCAAATGTTCAAAAATCACTTTGACCCTTGATTTTTCGTGGGTCGAATATTCACTAGATTTTTTTTTAATTCTTGTACTTATATTTTCAAACTTTAAAATGACGGAACAATAATATATATTTTTAAAACAAAACACTGCCTTAGCTTTTGCCTTGGAAAATAGATATGACTATATATATATATATATATCTTGCAAAATTCCTTCTGCTCTTCCTTGTTCAAACTTTGTTTGTGAAAGCGTCGTGGAAAATATTTATTTTCTATTATATTTAACACACACACATGTAAGGAAATTAAATATAAATTTTTTATTTTAAAAAAATTATGGTATGAATTGCGAGTGCTGCTGTATCTTTTCTTATTTCTTCATATATGACGCAATCATTTGAATTTCCGACGTGAAAAAAGTAAAAAAAAAAAATCAGTTGAGAGTGACTCTATAGTATATACCCTCAATTATTTCTTCTTTTTCTTTGACCAGAAATTATATATGTATGTATGCATGTGTATCCCCTCAACTCGTAACATACCCCAAAAAAAAAAAAAACAATGTAGTTGCCATTTGCCTCGAGTTTTAGTTTAATTTTCTGGTAGTGCCATAGTGAAATCATTCTAAACTTGAGGAGTACACTCACAGGAAAATGAAACAAAAACTAAAGGACAGTTACCATCCACCTTCTAAATCTGAAAACATAGAAATTAGTTAATTAATTAAGAGATCAAGTATTCAAAGGAGGAGAATACCCAACTAAGATATATTATTGCAAATGCAAATCTAGCTAGCTAACGCTTACAGTGTCGTTTTGCAAAAGCTTTTTTAAATTGTTCGGTGGCTGATCTAGGTCATGCACACCTCATATCCATAAAAATCGCAAAAAAGGCTAGAAAATAAATACATTTATTTCACTTTCAAAAATATGTAATTAATCTCGACTTGCCAAACTGTATGTAAAAGTGAATGGATTTGAACAAGAAACCTTCTTTAATTGTTCTAAACCATTTGAATTTGCCTCAGACAAAACCTTCATTAATTTGATTTGTTGCGATCTTTGTTCTCGACATTAATTAATACATCAAATATAATTATAAATAGAGTTAGGAACCATATTGAGTCATGCTAGTACCTACATATAATAAGAGTAGATTTTATTATATACTCTTTCTCCTGTCATTTATGAGACATTTTTTAATTAAATCATGTGAATTATAAAAGGTGATTAAAATTAATTAAGAATCTTGATATTTTTAAAAATTTATATATAGAAATCCCAAATTATCCTTTAATTAAAATGATTAATTTTTATTTTTAAATTTTAAAGTCAAATATGTCATCCAAATGAACCAAATATAAACATTTTTGGCAATAACCCATTAATAAAATACTTCATTATGTTTTACAGAATGTCTTATATTGAGAATATATAGGGGAAAATATATATACATATATATAATATATATGAGTTTTTTTTTTGAGGATATATAATATTTAATTTGGCTTCTTTATTGCAAGCTTTAATATTCACAAAAATACACCCTGATGAAGACAAAACCCAATCTAGCTAGCTACTTTCACCAAATTACATGACCAGATCAGAATTAAATAAAAAATCAACAAATAAATTACTCAGCCTTTTGTACAGTGAAAAGAACCTCATCACTAGCTGCTTAATTAATCAATCTCAGTCAACTTCTGGAATACTCTCTAACACAGGGCTCCTGTTCCGGCCAGCACGATGACTCTGAAGATCTCTAGCCCCCATTAAACGAACCAGAACTTGTTCTGCAGAAACACTACTCTTCACCTTCCTAATTCCCTTCTTCTTCTTCTTCATCATCTTCTGCTTCTCTATTTCTCTCAATAACACTTGAAGCTCCTTCTTTGTAATCTTTATCTTAATCTTCCCATAATTAGAAGAAGCAGAAGCACTTAATAACAAATCTCTATTCAACTCATCCAACACCTTCGTTGAGCTCTTGTCGTCGGATGTCAGAGAACTCCAATCTTCGCCACCCCAGTGCTCAGCTGACGAAGACGGCGTCTTTCCGCAGCAGTTTCCCATAAAAGTAATCCAATTTGGATATGTAGATTCAATATATGAGATTGTTGTGTATATGCAAGTATTTAAATGAAGATAAGCGGAGATAAGATTGAAATTTAAGCTTGAGAATGAAGATGAGATGGATAATGAGATAAGGGACGTTGTGTGGGGTTATTTATATATATATATATATATATATATAATGAGAATAAGAGAAGGTGGGTGACTGGGTCGTCACCAGACTCCGTTGTTTGATATGTTGTTACGTGGCTGCTTTTGTGGATGGATTTTTATTGACCAAAATTTAATCCTTTTTGCCGTCTCAGACTCCACATATAAATATACTTATATACACATGCATCATAGATGTGAGTGTGTAGGGAAAGAGACAACCCGTTTTTTTTTTAAGCATTTTGAAACTTACACAAATATTTTTTAAAAATTAATGAATAAATTATATTTCATTCATTAAAAAATTTAAGATATTTTTTTGGTCAAGATGTTAAAAAATTTAAAATATTTTAAGTTTTTCAAGGTTCAATTAATGAAGTGTAATAATTTGGCTAAAAGTTTCTTATAATACAGAATGGAGGGAATATCAACCTTTCTCAAACCTTTTCAAAGGGTAAATGAGTAAAATATTCAATGAACTTCGGGTCCAATAATACCTGAGACTCTAAATTTATTTACTGTGTAAATCATTCTTTCAACTTTTAAAAACGATACAATTTAATTCTTTCCATTAATGAAAATTAATTTTGACAATTAGTTTACTAAAAATGATATAAAAAATTACAGAAAATAATCAAAAAAAAATTTAGTCCTTCTACATAATTTTTGGATCATTTATTATAATTTTTTAGTTTTTTTATGTAATTTTTGATGTCATTTTTTAATCAGCTAATTATCAAAATTAACTTTTTGTTAATGCCAAAGGCCTGATTACTTTATTTTTAAAAGTTGAAAAAATAATTTAAATGATAAATAAATTCAAGAGCTATACCGCTACCTAACCTAAAATTAAAGAAATAATTTACTCATTTATTTCTTTTTAAATTATATACGGATCTAGTACGCTTTACACAAATTTTAAGAAATGAGTGATATTGTTTGTGGATTATAAATATTACTAATTCCAGTATACCTTCACTGGTTTATATAGATTTATTGATATTGATAACATGGATTTTTTTTGTTTAACATTTCCAAATGCTCACTCAAAACTACTGCTCTTAACATAAATAAAGAATAAATTACACAACAATTTATTCAATTTTTTGAGTTTGTAAAATTACATACACATATTCCTTCTATTTTCTAAACTAATGATATTTATTTAAAAAACATTGAAGATGTCTGTGTATTTAACAAAATTTGCAGAAAATATGTAATTTATTGGTAATTTTTCTTTGAGAGTTTTATATAACTTTTAATAAGAGACTATATATAATTTTTTTCCAAAACTAGAAGATATTAATTAATCCTTGGAACATATATGGGAGACTAGCTAATAGTTTTTTCTTAAAAAAAGAAATTTGCATTTGCGTGCGTACAGTAGTGAAGCCACATGTAATGCCCCCTCAATTGGAAAAAAATGACATGATTGGTAGTATAAGGCTTTCTATTTTATAATTTGCACTTTTTACTTATTATACTTTGTATCCCCTATTTTTATATTTTAAACTTTAAACTCATTTCAATCTTACTTTTTTAGCCTATATCTATTCAATTTTTTAACTTAGCCTCATGAATATTAGTCCAGAATTTCACTATACTTAAATCCCAATATTATTTATTAATTATTTAAAAAATAGAAAAAAATTAATATGACTAAATAGACTCATTCCTTGCCCTGAAAGTATACTTAGGGACTAGTTAGGAAAAAAAAAGCAATAATAAACAATGAAGATTCAAAATTTAAGAGTAATTGGGTGAATATTTTTTACTAGCTCACTACACTTATGAATCTATAATTGAAAACTAGATGGGGAATAAAGCAAAACAGAGAAGAAAAAAATAAATAGTTAATTTGGAAGAGATAAAAATGTCTTCTTTTTATCGAGAATCTTAGCTTTGTTATTGCCCCTGATCCAAGATCCTAGTTCTGCAACTGCATATGTAGTAAATTGAATATACAGTTAATAAAAAAAAGATATATAAGTTTGATACATAAAAGATAAAACAGCTGAAGAGAGAGGAATGTGAAAAGGGATAACGAAGAAGCATCTTGGATAAGGAATCCAATAATAGTGTGTGAACTTAGATGTGAACAAAGGAATCTTGGACTTCCAATATTTGCCTCTTAATTCATTAACAATAGCCTTCACGTGTCTGCTTTTTAACACCTAATATCCATATTCCCTTATTTGATTTGATTAATTCTCAATTATATGTACACGCTTTTAAAGATTAAACTAGTTCGTACTTTAATTTATTTATTAAATGCCTGCTTGCTAATAGTCTAAATGATTTACATAGTATCTAAGGTGAACAACATATCAATTAAATAATAAGTCGAATTATTTAATATTATTCGATCCATGAATAAGAATGAGTATAAATGACGAATTGAAAACGTGGGTCTTTATGTATAAAAAAATTACTGCTATCCTTTTAAGTTTTAATCGTTTTCTTTCCTCTCCACATATATATAATAACTGTAATTAAATGTAACATGTTAATTTATATACATTTATCACATCATTTTCACTCCAGAATAGCATTTCCCCCCTAGAAAATACATTTTTGTGGAGAATTTGACTTTAACTTTGACTAAAATGTGGAATTTTCATATTATAAAATATTATTTTGTATGCAGATGAACCTCAAGAAATTTATTTAGCAGAATTAGAGTCACACCCCCAATTAAATGAACCTCAAGAAATTTATTTTATATGCAAATGGTTTCTTAATTAACATGTTGAGTGATTTACACATAACTATGAATTAAATTAATTAAATTTTAAGTGATGTGAAAGGTAGTCTCTCAATGATAATTTGTTAGTGAAATCACTCATATAAATCTGAAAACACGTAATATAAACTAACCTGGTATACCATTAGTTTATATTATTAATATTTTAAGCGATTATGTAATCAGAATTAAGACATTATGATACTACAAAGTATAACATACCAAAGAGTGCATCAGTTTAAAACACTATATCCGAATAGTCACGGACTGATGAGTAATATTATTTGTAAGAATGATTTTGCTGGTGTTGTTAGAATTTTTTGAAAAATGGAAGATGAGGGTTCAAGTCAGAAGAGTAAGTTATTTGGTTGGGGCAGGAGGATTCACAATTAATTGAATGAAAAAGTTGGCATCAAACCCACAGGAAAACACAAGAATACCATGATTTGAAGCCCATAGGACTATGTTACTGCTTTTGATGAAACATGTGATGAAATTCTGATACATGCACATGATAAAATTCAACGCACACACACACACACATGAGAGAAGATGAATCCGTTTGTGATACTAATAATGTTATATATCTGCATGATCTCTGTCCAATATATATATATATATATATAAAGAACATCTATTTGAAAGTGCCAAATAATAGTATATCATGATAAAAAAATAAATTAATTAATTTTTAAACTTTCATTATAAAAACATTATAGACATATTATACTAAGTATTGTTAAGATATTAGGTTTGTATTACTGTTTTAAATAAAAAATTAGTTTTAAATGAAAGGGACAACAAATTGAAAGGAAAATAATATGTAAGGCCCATATATTTTTACCCTCAATTTTTTTTGCTAACTATGGAAAAATTTTGGAGAAAAACTTAAATTTTCAAATTTATTCACGAATCTTTTCGTTTTCTATCTTTTGCCTCCCTCCATTTTCATCTTAGTTTTCCCTCCTCTTTAAAATTTAGATTATTATATATTTAATAATTTAATAAATCAACTTTAAAATTGGACAAAAAAAATTTTTTTTGGCTAGAACCAGATAAAATACCTTACAATTTTATTTTTATCCATCAATAATATATAATAAAAATTATATAAATAATATTTTAAAATTTTAATTTTATTATATATAAATATTTTTCTATAAATAATAAGTTATTATTATCCAAATGAAATTAGATGTTTTTTCCTTTCATTTTCTCTCGCTCAGCTAAGAATATGGAGAAGAAATTACAATCCTCAACTTTTTTTTTCTCTTCACATTTTAAATTTTTCCTTTTTCCTTTTTCCTTTTTTTTTTTTTAGTCCAGCACAACATAAGACTCTATAAATAACGTTAACACATCTTATTTTGTGTATCTTTTTGAATGAATAAGAATTGAATATCAAGTTGTTCTCTTTCTTCGAGTTTTTCTTTTCCCTCATCTTCTCTCTCTCCCCTTTCGGTTTGCATCAAAATGACAAACGATAAAAGTCATACATAATTAAATATTTCTTTGGGGAAAAAAAAGGAAAAGTAGTAAATATTGACATTGATGACTAATTTAGACCCTTAAAAATTTAAAATTTGTACTAAATATCAAAAGTAAATTATTATTGATATATTTTCCAATTATAATTCATATTTTATAAATATTCTTCAAGTGTACTGATACATTGAAAATTTGAAAGTAATAACTTTGCAATGTCGAGAAAACCATATTCTAATTTTAGAAAGTATAGATGATATATATGATTTAAAAAAGTGATAATTTATTTTTATAATTCATCAAAAAATATTGTAATTTTTTAAATTTTGATGATTAAGATTATGAGTTATGATATTGAAATATTTTTTTTACTTCAGTTCTCCCACTAGACGTGAGGCTCGGGAGACAAGGCCTGTCATTTCACTTGGGTAGGTTGGTAGTTGGAGGCTCATGCAATCTTTCTAAACGTAAGGGACAAAATTGTTTAGGTGCTCTAAAAATTTATCCAACGTTAATTTATATTCGTGAATCCTGAATGTGATAAAATATTTAAGGTTTTTTTTGTATATATTAATTAAATAATGAATGTCATAAAACAAAATTTTGACATTTTCAATTATAA